TTGATGAAATGGCACATAAAGATGACATTTTAAAACTCGGATAATTAAGACCAATAACGTGAAATTGGACGTAATTTAGAGGAGTTTCCTAAAAATTGTAACTTTTTTGCAATCAATCCCTTAAACAAATTTTGGTCATATATTCAACCAACATTATCAAAGGCGTGCCCTTTACTGCACCTCATGCGTCCATTGATTTGGGGCAGTGGCAAAGCGCCCCGCATTAAATGCCGCAACGTCTTTTATGCTGCAAGCACCTAAAGCGGGGGCTGCGTGCAAAACATAGTCGTGTATGTTTTTGTGCTATAACATTTTAATTGGTTCTTTATACTCAATAACTCACACCTCTAAAAGCAAAATAAACTCATTAAGACTTTTTAGTAGCCCAATTGAGAACCCTAACCAATCCTTATTTACTATTTAATATTGCTTCTATATTAGTCTTGATTTGAACTTTGATATGGAAAATTATGAACTTTGCAACTATGTTGAGATATTTTAGCTTCCCCCTCAAACTCCAACCAAATCATAAGAGGTCGTTTTAGCTTCGCTCTCTCTTTCATCATCATCTGAACCGTCGTATTATATTGAAGAGAACCCTGTTGGATCAGAAATGACTGCAAAGAGAATTATATTTTCTAAGAGAGTCTTCTATATATATTTTTACGGTAATATTGTTCTGATAAGTACGTAGTTAATTAAAATAGTTGTTATTATAAGAAAGCTAGATTCTAGATGCAAATGATTATATAATAATTAATATATGAGTTTACGATAGAGGTTTTCATATTCAATGTACAAGTTATATATAGTATATTTGACTCTATAATAACTTTTCTTATTAGAATTTTCCTATTTAGAACTTTCAAAACTGTATAATTAAGTATGAGGGATTACCTTTTCTTCTAATAAATCCATAATAAAATTTTCCATCTTTTTTTCATTTCAACGAAAAAGATTTTGTCATCGTTGAGTCAGATCATCCATTGACGTAGGGCGTGGTCATTGTCTTGATCATCCAAGGTATAAATATAAATTAAGGTATAGTATCGAGTTTCTCTATTTGATCCTTCCATCTTCTTTTTTGTTCTTTCTTTGATTACGGACATAATTTTCGTCTTCATCATGCGAGTTCATTTCAATCAAAATTTGGACGATTTTGAGGAGCCCCGCAAACTTTGAAAATGTCACCCAACCCCCTTGCATAATAATTTGGGGTGTTTCAGAGAAACCTCCACACATCTTCAAAATTTTCAAGTAACCCACTCAATGGCGTTGATGAACCAGTAAATAAAAATTAGATTAAAATGCCCTCTTCAAACTAACACTCTAATTATTTAATTAAATCATATTAAAATGCCCTTTTCAAACTAGTACTCTAATTATTTAATTAAATCAGGTTAAATGATCTAATTAAATCCTTAAGTTGGACCAAAGTTAAGGGGGTTTCGTGCAAACTACCTTTAAATTTATTAAAAAAAGTAAACGAAAGGGTTTTTTTTACATCTAGAGAATTTTTGTCATTTGGACACAGAAGATTTTCACATGCACAATTAGATCTAGTGGTGCTAATTAGGGGTTTATTGTATAAAAATTAAGGGGGTTAAGTGACATTTCTAAAGTTTGGGAGGGTTATTTCAGAAATGTCTAAACTTATGGGGCTTTGTGAAATTTAGCCCTTTTTAATACCATGTCCAATGTTCAGAGATCCATCTTTATAAAGCCATCAGGAATGCACATTACCCTTCACAGACAGAAAAAACGTGTCCTCTCTAAAACACAAAGTTTATAGACACAGCATCATAGACGAAGTTGAAAATACTTGGGTCAGTTTTCAAGTAATATTCCTGTTTAGATTCTAAAATTATCAATCATATCGCTTCTTGATTGATCGAAAAATCATAGATATGGAGGAGAGGGAATTTACAGAAGCCATATATTCGGGCAACCTACGATCGTCACATGCCCTCCTGCTACGAACAAGTTCATATTCCAGTCACGCCAAGATTTCATCATGAGATGGCCGACATCTGAGCTTATAGGCCACACTGCACTGGTGAACGTCGAAGGAAAGCAGCACCGAAGACTGAGGAGCTTTATAATCGATGCAATCAATCATCCCAATTCACTGAAAAATATTGTAAAGAAAGTGCAGCCTCGTATTACGCGGCTTAGCTCGTGGGCGGACAATGGAAGGTTCGATATCTTCATTTGTCCATAGTCACACGTATGTTTACCCATTTCGGTGATGCTGACATTTATGTTACATATTTTAGGTGACATTTGAAAACACATGTCAAATGTTCGCTAGTATATATGGAGCCTTGCCCGTTGCTTGATGAAATCAACAAGTGTTCTTGAGGTCTGGTTGCTGGGATCAGAACCTATCCAACAGATTTTCCAGGAAGCTCATTTCGCAACCATCTTAAGGTTAGGGACATTTTTAACTCTCAATACCATAGATATTTAGGATTTTTATGTCTGTTAGTGTAATATATGTGGATATGAACTCGACAGTGTCGGAAGAAACTTTATGAAGTTTTCAGACAAGAGCTAGAGAAGAAAAGGCAAAGGCAAAGAGATGATGACAGTGATAATTAAGCTTGTGATCTCATGGATGGATTGATAAGAATCAAAGATGAGGATGGGAAAAGAATTAGCAATGAGGAGGTGATCGATAATATTATTGCCTTTACCATTGCAGGGTATGAATTAACATCACTTGCTTCCATGTGGACTCTTTATCACTTAGCAAAATCTCCGGAAGCTCTTCAAAAGCTTTGGGTAACTTATACACCTACCAACTAAATTTAGTCCTTCTAAATTAAAGTAGTTAACTCTATGGATTTTTCAGGAAGAAAATGCAAGTATAGTAGAGGCGAACAAAGAGGATTTTATAACTATGGAAGATATTTCAAAATTGAAGTACACCGTGAAGGTTGAAGATCATTTCTTTTCATGATTTTAAAAATAATTCACTAGTTTATTCTATGTTGAAAAGATATATAAGAGTATACTGTTTATTCCCTCTCTAGGTTGCAGAGGAAACCATAAGAATTGCAAATATCGCCCTTAGTGCATTTCGTGTTTCTACCAGAGATGTCAAATATGGAGGTTAGTACATGAAATAAATGATTTCATAAGCTAAATATCATTTTTTTTCCTTTAGCAAGGGTTTAAAAATTAGGAAACATACAGATTTTGTAATATCAAAAGGATGGCAACTTGTAGTCTGGCTTCGATCCCCCTTCACGTTGATACAAAGAACTTTGATGATCCACTGAGCCTGAAAGATGGGATGTAAGTGAAATAACTTGTAATTATTCATCAAAATGTGAAAATCAAACCATATTTTACCAGAATTAAAAGAAAAAAAATTCTTATCTGATTTGAAGATTTATGCTCTTGCAGAACGCCCCAAAGCCTGGAACCTTTCAGGTGTTTGGAGAGGGCCGAGGGTGTGTGCGGGTAACATGCTCGTCCGGGCACAGTTAACCATTATCCTCCACCATCCATCTCTAGGATGCAGGTACAAAGACTTGCATTCTCTTTATTTTAATTTTGAAGACAAAGTTCCCTCTTGAGTATTTGTTATCATATTACTAGTATTTGGTATCCTACTACTAACGATCTGTTGAAATATAATAAAGCTGGGAATTGCTCAATCCTGATGCAAGGATTGACCATCTTCCTCATCCAAGGCCAGTAGATGGAGCTATCATGAAGTTTGCTAGTGTAGCAGCCTCGACGGCAAAAGAAGCAGCCTAGCTTTAATGCCATGTTATTGTTAAACATGTCTATTTCAGTTTCAGTTTGGTTGTGTTCTGCATTTTGTTATATCAATAGAAAATGGTTAAGATATAAATATAGATGCGGATGCTAATCATTTGTGTTGGGAACATTTAGAATGAATGAAGGAGAAAGAAAGAGATGTGAACTATCCAAGTAAGGGTTTTGGTCTCTTCCTTCACATTTTCCTTCTGAAAAACTTACAATCAAGTAATGCAATTTACAGAAAAACAAACAGCAATGAACCACTTTCCTTGGACTGAAGCCCTTGCATTCCTGTTGAACTTATAATTCTTCCATTTTATAAATGCTCTTATCAGCTTTGACGAGTGCAAAATTTTTTATAGGGCGCAGTATGCAAGCAACAATATTGTAAAACTAAATCCCGTGCATAGCATGGGTAACAAGTACTTGGATCCTAAATCGGTATCCTAAATAGGACTAAATTTGGAAACAAAAAAGTTGGTACCATTTACAAGATTAATGGGCTGTTTGGTTGCACATTTTTTAAGAAAACTTTTTTTAAAATATCTGACAATGGTAATTTTGTAATTAAAAGTTTTCCATAAATTTCTGTAAATTGTGTTTGGTTCAACAAAAAATTTATAGAAATATTTTCTATAAAATATCAAAAACTACCAAATTTTACAAAAAGTAATTTCCTCTCAAAATGAGAGGAAATCAACAGAAATCTGACACCTTCCTTATTTAATCAACAAAACTCATCCCATACCCATTTTCTATAAAGTTATGAGCTATTTTCTTGTTTTGAACCAAACAAGCAAAGTAAAAAAAAATGGTACTTTTTGACTTCTTAAAACTTTTCCTATGATTTTTTAAAGAAATACAAGGAAATCATATTTTGGGTGGAAAACATTTCCTATAATTTCTAGAAATTGAACCAAACACCCCCTAAGATAACGACAGAAGAATTTACTAATGGCAAACAAGATTACTAAATAAGTAAACACTTATATATGGTTTGCATATCACATTTATATTACCCAGAGTTCAACTTCACAGGGATATTATCATAATAACATAGAGTACGCAGCGGGAAAATAAGTGTGAGCTAATGGTTTGTTTTAACAAAACGACCTGTCAATAAAAAAGAGTGGTGAGGTTCACATGCACCGATGAAATTAGCAGGATAAATCTCACCACTAGTTCGTCTCTTGATGACTCGTTTGCGAAA